ATGTGCAACGGCCACGTCAATTTGTTGAAAATCTCCAGCAAATGAGGATTAATTAATCAATTGAACTTGGTATTTTACAGTGTTTCCGGTTTTCGTCAGTTCACTGTATGCCGTGATGATGACGAATACCGTTTTATCGGAAAGCTAGCAGCAAAACAAAGCAAAAACCTACATCTCCGCCTTTGAATATGCCCATAACCATTGAATTATTGACTCACACCTTGGTCTGTACATTTTACCATTCGTTTTTTCTAACTAGGTATTCCTGGTCTCCAAATCAAAAAACTGAATGAGAGGTAGGCTGGAGTGCGGTGATTACCTTCAGCTTCAGTAAATGAGTAAGGAGAAGATTTTTAAAAGGTTTTGTTCAACTTAAACAATCTAGAAGAAAATCGGTTCTTCTAGGTTGAGGCAATTTAGGCGTTCTTACATCATTCTCATAGGCATCGTCTAATTAAGTTAAATCAGTTAGAAGAGCATACTAGCGCGGTCTGATAACCGATAGGTCATGTTTTTGAGCCTCGGTCGGGTCAGACGGTTTTGTTCCTTCTGAGGTTGATAAACGAGTACCAGTCGAGAGAAGGAAACAAGAAACTACACATTATGTTTGCCATATAACTGTTGTCGACAAAACCTTCAAACCTTGGTACGTCTGTGCGATGGTACAGAAAGGAAGATCAGCTCCGCACCATATGCTTAAAAATTTAAGGCCCTCAGTTAGAGTGCATTAATTTTTGATAAGCGAAACATTTATCGGCGTCTTACCGAAGCTTCTTCGTCTCGGATTGACGAGCAGCATGTTTCCCCGTTTGACCAACCATCTGTCTGTGCTGATCAAAGCGAGACGCTTCGGGCCTTTCTCGGTGTATATCAACGAACGCTCGACGTCGATCAGCTGTTCCATGCGTTCGAATTTTTTCGCGCCTTCGTTACATTCCTTCACTACGCGGTTAGCTTCATCCAAAGCTTTGCTAACCTGAACATCAGAACTGATGAAATAAGAACAAGTACAAAATGCGAATACACTAAGGTAAATAGTGAGGGCGAATATGCGTTAAATTTAAATGGCTCTTCTAATGTTCGACTCTGATGGAAACCAATCATCATTGGTACAGTTATTTCGGCGTTTTTCATCATTGACAAATTATTAAACATTTATATCTAACGTTCCGTTTGATTTTACTTAGGGGTTCATTAGGAATCATTTAAGGGAAGTAATCCCACGCGTACACTAATCATCTGTGGAATCTGATAAATGCAGAAGTATTACATGAGGTAAGCAGTATTTATTAGCCATAATTTTCATAAACTGATTTTTTTCGCAGTGAACCAGATATAACCAAGATAAGAATCATACATGCATTCGATTTTACTTTAGAGATAAAACGTTTTTTATATTATAAACCTCATTTCACAAAATGATGCTGATTTTCATTGACCTTACCGAAGGTACGAGATGTCATTCTGATGGCAGCCAGACATGATTTTCGAAACTTTCAAACAGGTAAAGGCGAATTAATCGCTGCAATGCAGCTACATTTAAGAAAAAGAAAAATGCAGTAAGTTCGCCCCTCGACGTCAACTTCCTCGTCCAACTCATTAACAATTCGACGAAACGGCCAATACACAGGAGAACATCAGGGGAGGAGGAAGGGTGACAGTGGCAAAGAGGTGGGCTTCGAACTCTGAAGAGGCAACTTCTGAATAGCAAGGAAGGACAGATTTTGTCTGAAGCGCTGATTTCTTTGACAAGTGAATTAGCCCCACGTCGTTTCGATACAACCAAGTGAGAAACACACAGCAACTAGTCGACCAGCAAACAACGCTGACTGCTTGGTATTCTGATGTAGCAATACAAGAATGGAAGAGATGTGACTGCGCTTCGTCTTGAACTACTTGACAGCTGACAATCTAGCATGTTAGCCAGCAAATACCTAATCCAGTTTTATTTATTTTAACATGCTTAGAGAAAATACGGGGTTTATACAGCTGAACAGCAACAGCTTGGCGTGAATCTGAAAACAGTCGAGATATGAAGATATGACCGTCGCTTTTGTGTCAATGACGTCACTATGTGTGTTATTCTGTGAATGGTCATTCCATCTAAATGGGATGGTAGTGGATCAGTGTGGGATCAAAATAACACGTTCTCTAAAGACGGATGAGCAACTAAGTGCCTAAAAACAACACAAATCGTCGTCAACAATGGTAGGACAATGTTGACCCATTCTTCAGTTCTAGAAAGCCATTCACATCGTCTTTTACGGCACTCGATTCATTTGTTCCTCCTCCATCGTGCCAGGTCACGATGTTTTGAAGAACCAAGAACAACTGAATATCATGCTCAGGAATTCCTATAGAAAGTATGAGCGTTCACAAACAGCAACAATAGAAAGGAAAGTTAGTCAGCGTTGGAATATCGGTTTTTCTTAACTTTCATGATCGGATATTTTGCGCCAACCTTGCTGGTGCGGCGCTGATCTCCGTTTCTACGCTCTCAGCAAGAAATGCTATATTTTGAAAGGCAGAGTCCAGAGCCATGAGGCAAACGTAGTGTGAAGTCTTCCGCTTTCCTACAACAGAGTGGAACTCATCTGCCAACGTGGGAAGGAAGTAACGAATGACCCTAAGCGAGGCTTGAAATCGGGATCCATCGATTCTGAGGTCGATGTTCCATCGACTAAGCAACCTTGGCCTAAAGTAACGCGTGGCAAATTCCGTGCTCAGGATAAGACTAAGATTGCGTTTGAGTGAAATCAAACCCAGCACCTGT